ACTGTGCTGTGACTGTAGTTTGGGTCAAGTGGGACCTCGATGGGACTGTGCTGTGGCCAGATACAGCCCTGACTCTGTAGCAGCTACCTTTGCATGGCAAGGAGCTGATAATCCTGCAGGACCTGGCTTGACTCCATGAGGAGGAAGGCCAGTTGCAAGCAGGTTATTAACTTGAGCTCTGCTCAATCCAAAAACGGAGCCACTCAAATGTCAAATGCCGAAAGTCAAAATTTCAGTAGTTGATATTATTTCAGATGAGAACTTACAACAGTCCCATTTGAAGATATCTATGTCCGAAGACCTTGTTCAAATATAGTGACCTTTTTGGAGAGATAGTTCTGTACTGGTAGTTATGTTCTTATCACCGTCGTCCTTCCCTCTGATTATTGATATGTTTTATGAATTACAATACTTATGTCTCTGTCAAAAATATTTAACTCCATATGATCTTGAAACATGGAACTAAAAATTACATTAAATGTTTAAATACATGAGAATGGAGCATTTGTTTCATTCCATGGAATATATCAGACTTGTAGTATATAAATGTGTTAAATATCATGTGTGATCCATAGGACAGTTTTAGGTGATGATGAATATTTTTATTCCCTCTGGCATCCTCACCCACCAAAGTGGGTTTCACGTTCATTTTCAAAAACCATCTTCTAATTGGTGCTGACAGTGTGTGTCCAGTAGATGCTAAAAAACCACCTCTCAACCTAACAGCCTCTGCCTGGAGTCACTACCATCCCTGTTGTACGGAACAGATGATAGTGGCATCCACTGATACCACTTGTTACACAGGCAGATGGCATGGAAATGCTTTTTTGAGACTGGCCAAGCAAGGAAACCATTACTAGATCTCTTCTGGAAAACTGGTGCTTACACTCTCAGTGGATAAATTTATAGGTTACAGGCTTTGGCTTACCTGCAAAACCTTTGAAGCTGACTCCGGAGAGACCTGCAAACCTTGCACAGTCTGTGTCCTTCATTCTGAATGGAGCTTACTAACTGATTAATGCCAGTAAATTTTGCTCTCTAATAAAATAATAGTCAGTAAACTCATGCTTTCTAATATGTCAGAACATATGTATTTTGTATGTTCTGCTCTGTCTTGAGTTAAGCACGGTCCTTAGCAGTAATTACAGCTGATTCAAATGTACTATTTAAGGTACAGTGCATGCAAAATAACATATGCCCCTGACTCTTGATAAGATGCTCTGAGAACCTGAGTTCTAGTTGGCTTGAAGGAAATGTACTGCGTTATAGAGCACTTTGTCCCTGATGTTGGAAAATGTCCAACATTTCCATTCAATATCTAATAATACTTTTGAGCTCACATTAATGCAACCCTCTGCTCAGAGATTTTAGGAAGTATAATAGAGCAAGAGCATAGTGCCTTTGTGGTGCTGACTGTGCTTCCTTTCATGTCCTTGGTTACTGAGGTGGTTGCAGTTCTCATGTCTCCTCGCTGGCATCTCTCATCTATGCTTTTGGGTAATCAAATAAAATCCGCTAATCTTTTGAAGTTCCTGCTAGATCTGTTCTTGTAAACAACATTCTCATAAATATGAATATATTCTGACTCCTTCTTAGCAGTAGCATACAAGAGATGACCATGGGGTTCTTCACAGAGCCTTAGCTCTGCCCTTCGTCAAGCTCCTGGGTGAGACAGAAGCAAACTCAAAAGATAGGATGTGTTTCAGAAAAAATAATTCCATGTATTCTGAGGGCTATGAATGTTTACATGCATGTTTAATTATACAGATTATCATATAATTTGTCTGACTCAGAACTATAACATTAATAAATAAAATCATGAACTTTAATGGCATTTACAACAAATGCGTGCCAGCTCTCACTCTGGCTTCAGTGCTGGCTTTATAGTGCTGCTGATGGTGCAGTTACAGTATGCCAATGTTTTCTTGAACTTCTGTTTAATTGTACTTTAACACAGTTTTTCTCAGTGATACATTAAAAAAAGCAAACCAAGCAAACAACTGTGATGGTATGGCACTGATAATTCAATTATTTAAAGTGATAAGAACTACAAATGCATTAATGGGTTCTTTAAGACAGTTCATGACAACTACGGTCTTACTGAGAAACTGCTGACAACTTTTAGGCATAAACATATGGCAATGCATGAAAGTCATGTTCTACATTTTAATAGCACACATATGGGCAAAAATCCTCATAGTGGAAAACTAGTGTAATCTAGTTTTTATCATAGATGACTTTTTTTTCAGCTGGAAGTAATTAGATTGCAGACTCTTCTGCTTAGCTTCATTTAATTATTAATATTAGTGTGTAGTGTCTGAGTAAAACTTATGGTTCATTGCTTCATGTATAGCAAGTAGTATGAAAGTAGCATCTCTGCCATAAAGAGATTGACAGAAAACATGAGTACTTTTATTGCAGCATTTGGTATTTGTACCAGTAAGCAGCCCTGTCAGAGGTTCCATAGCTAAGATATAAACCAAATTACTGTAAACATAGACCTTATATCATAGATATTGAGGTTTACAGTTGAAGATTCAAAGGTATTCACTGGCTTGTATGATTTACAGAATTACCTTCTATATCTTCATGAGACATATATATGTTTTCAAGAGTAACTTTTCTTTCCCTGAGTATTTTACTATAGTTTCATCTCTCATTCCATTTGTGGCTAGTTCATTTAATTGGTAAAATAGCTGCTTGCCCTTCAGTAGCTGCCAGTATTTCTTCCAAAATAGAGGCATCATCCAGGTGAGATCCAAATAACATTGATACTGTTACATCAGAAATTGAATACACCCTAGAATGATTTAGATACCTTGTTCAGCAGAAAAAGGACCTTTTAATACATACTTCCCTATGTGCTAGAGTGTATAGGCAGTGAAGGTTCTGATTCAGAGTATTAGCTTTTATGCTACTTTGAAAGAATGTCACAGTATCAAAATTGCCCCATCTTCCAGTTGCTATAAAGTTGGTTTATTAAAGGTAGTTTTGTTTTGAAACTGTGGTATATATAAAAAGAACAGCACATTAAAACAATATTTTATATAATGCAAAATTGACACACCCCTATCAACTAATCTCTGCTAATGAAATAACCCTCTTCCCCACTAAAAGCTTCCTATAAATATTTTTGACAGGCTCTGTTGATATGAGATTTACTTAGTCGTGGAGTTTGTATGTAAGTTAAACATGCCTAATGTAAAAGAATTTGTCTTTTGATTCCACTGTGTACATCCTACACCTTTTTGGAACACCCTTCACTGAGAGCATGTAAGTGAATATAGGACCTGAGCTTATTTATCTGTTTTATATTTATAATCTAACATACCTGCATGCATGTTATTTATATAATAAACTGTACTTTTAGCCACTTATTAGTATTTAGGAAAAGTAATACTATTTCAGTGTTTCATTGAGCCCAAAAGAGTTCAATGGTTACATCAGTAGAACACACTGTCTGTAATTTGGATACAGGGCTGTATTTTCTAATATGCTTGTTTTTCCTACAGTTAGGTAGATTATGCTGGGTTTTTTGGACAGCATTACTTTGTGTAGAAGTTTGGGGATTTACATGCATGACGATTAACATTTCACTACATAATAATATTGGAGACTGAACTGTGTTTTAATTGTGACAATAAAGCAGACCTGTTATGAAACCAAGGCGGAAGGCCAAGTGCTTCCTATCTCTAGAGACAGTGCAATTTTAGATTAGCAGTGTACATCACGTTGCTCTTAACTGCTTTTATAGAACATTTCCAAGTCATTCAAGACTGTTCTGGCACCCTTTAAATCATTGTACTGCCTGAATCCTGGCAGTGAGGTTTCTCATTCACACCTGCACACACCTGCAGTTCTTGCTTGTAAACTGCAAAGCAATGACTTATTATCTGCATTCTGAACAACCTGTTGCCATTTTGCAGTAAATCAAATAAATTGGACTGCTCATCTTAAAAATCAGGGAATGTCTCTTATCTTTCTCAAACGTTTGTATGTCTTTTTTTCTCTAAAGGCTCTCACCATTGTTACCAGTGAGAAACAGTAGATTAATATTGTGAGAAAGAGTTACTAAGTGTCTGTAGAACAAAAAGAAGAATATTTAACAGTTAAAATTTGGCATTTGTTTTTAAACAAATTTGTTTCATATGATACTGCATATATGTATAAGAAAAACTGAGCATGAGTGTGAGTGGAATCAGAAAAGAATTAGAAAATACTAGATATCAGTTTTGTCAACATCCTACACATTAGAATATGTGCACACCCACTTGTGTTCGTTAGATGGCAACAGAAAGATAGATGAAGATAAAGAAAAATGAAGTGGGTCTGACTGCTAAACAATATTATTCCTGTATCATTCAGTGTTGATGATGATGATGACAGTATGAATTTCTGAGACAGCATGAAACACTAAACATACTGCTTTTGTAGCTTTTCTAACACTAATTTATCACAATTCGGATTATAAGAGATAGGAATCTTTTCTGTCAGTGTGATCTAGTGCTTTAGAGATGCAGTTGCAGATCTGTGCTGCCTTGCTGACAGAAGGGCAGCAGTGTACATAGACCTGTGAGGGGCAGGGCCTGCAGTTCTCACTGCTGGCTCGTGCAGCATTGTTTTGTTCACAGGGGTTGGAAGAGGTGCAAGCTAGGATCACTGTGGTGACACTGTGAAAGAAGTTCCTTTTGCTGGGATTTAGTTGCTTCCTTGGTAAAATGATAAAATATGATGTGATGGGAAACAACTGCCCTGGCCCAGAGTTTCTCTTCTAAAGTAGACGACGGTGTTCACGATTGCAGCAGTTTGTAATGGCTTCTGGGTTTGCATAGATGGTAAATATTTCTAATGTTATCTCCCCATTTAGAGTGTGCACCTTGGAATATAGTGTCTATACATGGGTGGGTAGTCAGGTGTTGTCACTTGTGTAGTTCCATTTACCTCAACACATCTGCCATGTGACTGGAAGTTATTCATGCTGTGATCTCCATCTGTTCCAGCGTCTTCAATCCTGAAGAGAGAGAAGCGGAAGAGAACAAAAAATGTCCATTTTAACTGTGTTACTGTGTATTACTTCACGAGAAGGCAAGGCTTCACCAGTGTTCCCAGCCAAGGGGGAAGCACACTGGGAATGTCCACTCGCCACAACAGTGTGCGCCAGTACACACTGGGAGAGTTTGCGATGGAACAGGAGAGGCTTCACCGGGAGATGTTGAGAGAGCATCTGAGGGAGGAAAAACTCAATTCTCTAAAGTTAAAGGTAAAAATTGTTTAAGACTTTGATCCCTGCCTTATTTATTTAAATGAGTGGTGTCAGAGCCATATGGGCCCAATGCGTGTTAAACATTTTCAGTTGAAACAGGCATTTTGATTTTTTCATTCTTTATTTTATTTTACTGAAGATGTATTTTTGTTTGATAATACCAAGCGCTCTTGTAGCTGTCATTGCTGTGTACCTCCAAGTGCTTTACAGGGAGGTTGTTGTTTATTCCCAGTTTTCTATAGAGAGGGAAATAAAAGCAGGGTGGTGGAAGTTAGCCTTGAACTTCCATGTCCAGCAGATGTCTGGGAGTGCCAGAAAGAGAATGAGTCTTCTGACATGTGCACGGGCCCTATTAGACAAGGGAATGGTAACACCCTGAGTACAGAAAGTGAAAGGGCTTGTTTTTTTGGCCAACTTGAGTGAATTTGGCAAAAAGTAAGAAACAGTAATAGCGAAATGTTTTCTTTTGGAGTGTACCAATTTATATGATTATGCGTCTTTAATATTTCGCCAGAGAATGTCTGTGTCAAAGAAGAAATGTGTCAGACAAATTACCCAGCTGTATCAGTTTAGCCAGTCAGAACAAACCTTTGCTACAGTTTTCACAGAATCACAGAATCAGTAAGGTTGGAAGGGACCTCTGGAGATCACCTACTCCAACCGCGACCGCCACAAAGGCGGGGTCACCTAGGGCAGGTGATGCAGGCACACGTCCAGGAGGGTTTGGAATGTCTCTAAAGAGGGAGATTCCAGGACTTCCCTGGGCAGCCTGTTCCAGTGCTCTGCCACCCTCAATACGAAGAAGTTTTTCCTCATGTTGAGATGAAACTTCTCGTGTTTTAGTTTATGGCCATTGCTCCTCATCCTGTCATTGAGCACCACTGAAAAGTCTGTCACCATCCTCTTGGCACCCACCTTTGAGATATTTATTTGTATTAATGAGATCCTCTCTCAGTCTTCTCTTCTCTAGACTAAACAGGCCCAGCTCCCACAGTCTCTCCTCATAAGAGAGATGCTCCACACCCCTGATCATCTTTGTGGCCCTCCACTGGGCCTCCTCCAGTAGCTCCTTGTCTTTCTTGAACTGTGGAGACCAGAACTGAACACAACACTCCAGATGTGGCCTCACTAGGGCCGAGTAGAGGGACAGGATCCCCTCACTTGACCTGCTGGCCGCACTCCTCCAATGCACCCCAGGATACCATTGGCCCTCCTGGGGCCAGCTTCCCTGTGAAAATGTCCTGTTAAGTAGAGCATAGCAGAGGAAAGAAACTGTGTATTTGAGCAGAGAACACAGAAGGGGATTGTGTTGTTGGAAGTGTCCTTTCTGTCACTTTAAAACTGGTGGCAGAACATTTTATGTTTTTGTGGTAGATAAAACACTTCTTGTGTCATGGCCTTTATTATATGTATTTTGGACTTTTTTTCAGATGAATTCTGTAATTAAAAGTGAACAATATTTAGAACTGTAACTGCATTTCTGTGTTGCATGTCCCCTTCTTTTGTGATAGTACATTTCTGTCTCTGCTGTTGTCCAGAGCAAAGTGGCACCCTCCAAGTTTAAGAAATGCCTTTCAGCATTTTTCCCATAGAATGACCCATGTTCATGAGTTTTGTATCTGAATGTTTGAGGAAGTGTGCATGACCTATACATTTGTATTTACTTTTTTCAGTCTCCTAACTGTTTTTTTAATAGATAAATAGATTTTAAATAGCTAAATGGATTCTTAAATAAATTAATAAGTTTGTAAAATTTGATCTGTCATAAAACAAACATAAAACCACTCAGGACAAAGGCAACTTAAAGACAGATATTGGACAGGTTAGTGTTAGCGTTAGTGACTTATAACTAGATAGAGATTATACCTCTAAACATCTCATGTCACAGGATCTTGAGAGCATCAAGTGTGAATTGTGCTGTTTGAGTTTAACTGATGACTATCAGTAGAACCCTTGGCTGACTTCCAGGAATCAGCTCAAAGAGAGGAGTCTCCAGTGAAGTGAGTAAAGAATAGCCAAGCACGTAAATATTTCACTTTTCCTTTTTTTTTCTTAGCTAAAAAGTAAATAAAGAAAAAGCACAGTTCGTATTTAACTTGAAAGATTTGATGAGGCCTCTTAGCCTTCATCTATATAGATTAGAGCTGGGCTCTTTGTCCTTTTATAGTCCTCCTCTTGACTGGGATGGATTTCTTTTCTTCATTAACTTGCTTCACTTCAGCCCAGTCTTTTTTGGGGATATAGACACTACTTTCTGCTTGTCTTCCAAATACAACATGTTCTTCCATCTTCCCAGTCACTTGTTTTAGTAGATGATAATCTTTATTGAGACTAAGTTCCTGCAAAATCTCTTCATAAGTATTCAGTGAATAAGGAGAGCCTTATTTGCATCTTAGAGGTGTTAAATTTTTTGCTAGAATAAAATATCTCTTTTCCCCCTGGGGTGTGTATAAAACCATAGCCAACAAAAAACTTCCTTTTTGAACTAGTCCGTTAATCTCAGTTTACTTGCATCCCTGATTATGCACTTGGGATAAAAAAAAAATTCAAACATAAAAAGCAAGTCCAGGATTTACTGAATTAGTGAAGAGTCACTGTAAAGTACTGGGCATGTTTTGTTTGCTTAAGACAACAGGGCTGATTTTCCATTATAGAGATGGAAGAGCTGCTTGATCATTCACACAGTTTCTAAATGAAAACAAAAAGGAAGTGGCATTCCGAGGTGGCAATGTCAGCAATTATGGTCTTTAATGAAAATGTGCTAATCAGGTTTGCATCAGAATTTCTGTACATCACAGAAAAATGAAGGAAATGAGAAAATGAAGTAGAGCAAAGTTGGCTCAGAGGTTTTTCTGTTTGAAAAACATTATGCAAACAGAAAGTAACATTTTCGGTGTGGTTTTTAATTTGTTTCCTTGAGATTTTTCTTATTTTTTGCATTGCATTAAAACATACAAGTCAGTGGGTAGAAAGTGCTCTCTCTTGTAGAATTTGTTTAAAAAAGATAGAACTACAGGAATATACTGAAATTGAGTTTCCATAATATTAGGTACTATTTATTATTTTGCTTGCCAAAAGTGAAGGACCAAATAAGAAACATGTCTAATTAAAAGCAGATAAAGACACTGAAATCATCTTCAAGTCATTTTGACCATTTAGCACCAGCAGTTTGGTGTAAACAAACACTGCTGACAGTGGCATAAACACTTGTTAGCAGCAGAGTGTGAAAATTCTAATGGCAATCTGGACATAAAAGACATACTGTCAAATGAAAGGTACAAGGTAGTCATTTGAGAAAACATTGAGTAAGCACAATAAATTAGCTGCAATAGTCCTTATTGCTTACTCATAATGTCTCCTCAAATTAAAATTTATTATAACGATTAGCATGAGACTAGTGATGTTAAGGCTCACAGGTCTATGGGCACAGTTGGTTTCCTTTGTGGGAAATTATAAGGAATAATTTCCACCTAGGACAGGCAAAGGTGCCCATCCTAAATTTTACTGAGTTGGAGTGAATTTCACCCAAAGGCTTCACATATTCATTGGCCCTTCCCTTGTTCAGTGGTTATGGCATTAACCTTTAGCTTTATGAGAGAAATTTACCCATCTACATGTCAAATTTAATTCAGATGAGCAATATTATGACAATCAAGAGAACTTAATACTCCCCTGAAGTTCTGTATTGGAAAATGTATTTGATGGTTCATGATAATCTTACTCCCTCTGTAGTTACCCAGTTACTTGTTTGAATAATGTTAGAATCTTTCAGTTCATTAATTCATTTGTTCTTTGTGTGGCAAAATTGAGGGGTAAAAAAATCAGAGTAGACAACAAGGAAATCATCCAACAGAGGAGTCAGGAGTGAAGGTGCTTTGAAATGGCAAACTGCTGCCTAATCCTGCTTGATGGCCAAGATGTTCCAGCCTGCTGGAGGCATGCAGTGTTCAGCATGTGACTGGAGTCCATTCCCTAATGCTCTACTGCTGTGTAGCAAGGCAGTTAAGATTTGCAGAGGAGGAGGAGAAATACAGGACAGGATTGGTGTAGTTCTGTAGGTGCCTTTGTGAGCTGAACAGTTACAGCATTCACCTCATGGGTAAGAACCCTAAAAGTTAATTTTTATTAAGGAGTAATTGAATAAAATGCTAAAATAATTAAAGAAGCGGGGATTAGAATTCTTCCCCATCCCCAGTTTCAAACTTAAATAACAGTGATCTGCTTAAGGAGTGCTTTGAGCCTTGCATATATAAAAGTAGAGAAATCAAATTTCTTAGGTAGGTCATTTCCCTATTATATATGAAACCAAAATAAGGGCAAGCAATGAAACATAAAATACGCTGTACTTAGTTCTACCTTGCTAACATAAAATGAAAAATATAAAAAAACCTGAAGCGTGCCATTCTGGATTGGAATAGTCAGGCTGAGTTTTGTGTATGGTGGAGTATTCCCTCTCCTTCACTTCAGGCAACTAATTCAAGATGCATTTAATCACTGTGTGGATTTACCTGTCTCTCGCTGCAGAATGTACAGACAAAGGGATGACTTCTAATGTTGCCTTTCCTACCTGACTGAACTAATACGTTGAAATACTTGGTGTAAATAGTCTCTCCATTGTCCCAGGGCCAGGCAGAACTTTTCCCAGCCACTGTAATGTGAAATGCATAAGAGAAAATGGAGTAAGAAAACAGTCTGAAGGAAGTTTGAGAGGAAATTTTGAAAATGTGTGTATTTAAGATGAAGAAAGAGCTAGAAGGGATTTGAATGTTACAGGGATAACAGATGATACACTGAAACATGGCATAAAATGAAGGCACTAAACTCCAAAGGCTTCAATCAGGGAGAAAGTTTGAGAATACATTGAAAAGAGAAAGAAACAATAATGCTTATAAAGTGGGTTGTGGAAGTGGCAGAACATCTCTCGGTGCTGAATTGCTAAGAAGGGATGATTGCTGATCTCAGGAGAAGTTTTCTTTGTGCAGTGTAATAAGGACTACCAGTCATGACCCTGAGACTCCTCCTTTAAAGGGAGGAGTATGGCTTTTAACCTGCCTTTACAAGTCAGGAGTAACTAGGTTGTTGGGTTTTTTTCCTGTGATTGTCTTACACAGTTGTTATAAGCACAAAACTGCAATTGCCAAAAAGAGTAAGCAGTCAGTAGGAGGTCACTGTCAAGGAATTCAATAATGCCGTAAATGACAGTTACAATCCAAAAGACTGTGGAAAGGATGACCTGTTAATATAAATGGGAAACTTGAGCAATTGGCAGTATAAGAAAAGCAGAAATAGTGGAATGGGTAAAATTCAGGACTGCTTTCTCGTACATCAGAAACATAGCTAGGTGGAGATGACACAAATTAGCAGAAAAATGGGGAGTTACTTTTACGGTGATAATTGTTAAATGTCTAAATATTGAAATGCACAAGAAACAGGTTATGGTACTTATGACTTCAGTATTTTATCTGTATTTAAAACTGGTGCCTAAAAATTTATTTGGGATAACACGCCAAGGTGAAATTTTCTGCAAGTAAATAACGCAAAACCAAGAAAGAGTTTCAATGGCTATTTTTCTATAGGTAAGAAACATTCAAATGACATGTTTGTAGTGAATGTCATTGTCTCTCTGAATTTTGTTTTAATGTTTGATATTGTTTTGACTCTTAAGCAATTTTCTCTGTGGAAGAACTTTTATGAAACCTGTGGTTATCTGGCAGATATAACCAGTGAGCTCTACCTTCCTTCAGAGCAGTAATTTTTTTCCCCTTTTCTCTTTAACTATATTCACCCCTTTCTCTATGAGATGAGTTACAGGAGTATGGTACAGAAGTGTGCTATCTTATGAATGTGGCACTGGATGTTTGTTCTTAATGCTCATGGCCATTTAATTTTGAAACAATTTTTGAAAGGTTTGAGAGCTAGACTGTACAAAAGTAATAATATAGTGCCAGGATACTTGTTTCTATAGAGGCTCAAAAATTCATATTCCTAGAAAAGGAGCATGAATCCTTTTAAAACTTTTCTCAAGATCCTCCACAAGAGGTTAACAACTTGCTTCCTTTTTTTCTAAATGTATTCATTTGTTAGCTACCTAACAATAATCTGAACTGATGACTGAAGTACTACAATCTATGACAACACAAAGCTAAATATGTTCTTTTCAGGACCAAAGAGAACCAGAAAGGACATCAGAAGAGCTGTATGCATCAGCACTGTGAAACACAGTGCTAATAAACATGGAATCACAGAATCATTTAGGTTGGAATGGAGTAATGTAGGTAGAAGAGGGCAAAATTAAGTGACTTCCAGGCTTAAAACTGTCAACTCAAGAAGCAAACATAGCCATCTGCCCAACTGATTAAGCAGAAATACTGCTCTGTGTTCTCAGCTATACAGACATCAAACAACTTGTCAGGCTAAAGAAGAATAGGATAATAAATAGTACATTGAATACACCATTTACAAACCTGTGAGGCATCATCATCTAAACCTCTGTCAGTAGTATAACTACTGTCTCAAAAGAGATATTTAAGAATTTCAAAGAGCTCAGAGACAGGAATCAATTAAGGTCTCAAAAATTATCTTGTGAAACAATATAGAAAAGACTAGAATTTCAGACAGGCATGAGATCTGGCAGTCAAGGACAAATGGTAAGCACAGGTAAATAAAGAACAGGTAAGTAACTAGAAACTTAAGAAAAAATTACTTCATTACAAACATGGTACTAAAAATGTATATTTAATTCGTAAGCTAAATGTGAAAGAAATGCCTGATCACCTTACATGTGATCATATTCTGGAACTTACTGGCAGTCATGCAGCATTTTTACATATAGCTTTCCACATTCACAATGCATTACACAAAGTTACATCTGTGACACTCATATCTGTGAGTGCAGTTCAGGACTTTGTTGATTGTTCTGTGCAACAGATGACAAAGAATGGGACAGTGGAATCCGAAGAAGCCAATACGCTGACGCTGGATGACATTTCTGATGACGACATTGATCTGGACAACACTGAGGTAGATGAGTACTTCTTTCTCCAGCCTCTGCCGACAAAGAAGCGCAGGGCGCTGCTGCGAGCGTCCGGGGTGAAGAAGATTGACGTGGAAGAGAAACACGAGCTGCGAGCCATCCGCCTGTCCAGAGAGGATTGTGGCTGTGACTGCCGTGTCTTCTGTGACCCAGAAACCTGCACTTGCAGTCTGGCAGGCATAAAATGTCAGGTAAATGTCTGCGTTATTGCCAGTTTAATTATCTGGGGAGGGGGGTGTGTCCACGCACACGGGTGTACTTTTTGTTGTTGAAGTTATAACCATTGGAAATCAAGTATTAGTAACACTTGCAGATCTCAAACCAGTTTTTTAAGGCCCCGATTTAAGACTATATAGTGGGCAATCAATACAAACAATCTCCTAAAATATCTTTCTTTATTTTATGATTGGTTTAGGATGTTTTTTTGTTCTTATACAAGTGTTCTGCTCCTTGTACTCTTCTTTAGCCTTTACCTAAATAGGCAGATGCAGATAACAGAAGAGTCAGTAGCCTGCCGATTTCAGAACGGATATTATCTTTGCTTTTAGAGACAATTAACATACACTCCAAATGTGAATTATAGTCCAAACTCAATGAGAAACAATAAATGACACTCTGTGGTACTGTCCTTTATGTAACATGCATGATACTTAAAATCTATGCATGATAAATTTGCATGTAGGCAATAAAAATATGTATCTGCTAATATAGCAGGTTTTTCCTCTGCAGACTGAAGAGGTATTTCGTATTGTACATTTACATAGTTGTCAGCTGTACATGTCCCAAAATATTCCCTAAAAAAGGTTTCTACTAGTTTCTGCTGAGTTGCTGTTGTGCAGCTGAGTTTTCCTCCTGAATGCATTTTTCATTATCTCGTAAATCCAAGCTAAACTTTCTCTACTATTTTAAATAATATATTCTCCTTGCTGTTCCTGTTTTCATCTCCACATGTGGGGAACATGTACTAGATTATGTTATAGGGTACTTCTCTGCATCATATCTGATGTTTAGATATTACAGTGTAGGTGAAAGTCACAGACCTTCAACTGTTTAATGGAACTGGCTGACATGGGGATTCAGGCACATTTTTAAAAATTTAATATGAGCATTTTTAGATGTAGAAGTTCTGTGCACAGTCTGTTGAGCTTACAATATTGCCCCTACAATAGAGTGGCATACCTTTTAAAGTGCACTTGAGGTTTTATTCCTATTTTCCGTGGTCAGGTTCCCCATTGGCAACTTTATATAGGTTTCTATATATAATTAATTTTGTTTCAATAGGTGTCTAGTTTCCATAACTTTTACCAATTTTTACCAAATTTTAAGATGCTTTCTGGTAATGATTTTGCCTGGATTTGAGCACAAAGTGAAGTATTTTTGTATCCATAAATACAAAAACTACCTATTTTTTGTTCCACTGTGTAGTACTTTCACCTATGGAACAGAAATGTATTTTTCCTACTGTGCAGCATTGATGCACGTACAGGTCCCTTACTGTTCCTCTCAGTACTGCTCAATTCCAGGGCTGACTCCCTGAATTACTGTTGGCTTTGACTACTCTTACAGGTATTTCTCAAGGTGAATTCCACTTCACCACTTTATTTCTCTAGGCTGTCTAGGTTGTCATATCTCCAGGCTTATGCTACGTATTGTTAATCTGTATTCTTTTCTTTAAAAGGTGGATCGTATGTCTTTCCCATGCGGTTGCACTAAGGAAGGGTGTAGCAATACCGCAGGTAGAATCGAATTTAACCCTATCCGTGTACGGACTCACTTTTTGCACACAATAATGAAACTTGAATTGGAGAAAAATAGAGAGCAGCAAGTTCCAGCACTTAATGGCTGCCACACTGAGATAAGTGCACACACTAGTTCTATGAGTCCAGGACCCCACCCGGTTGAATATTCAATTGCAGAAAATTTTGAGATTGAAACTGAACCTCCGGCTGCAGTTATGCATTCCCAGTCAGCCGAGGACTTGGACTGCCCAGGGGAAGAGGAGGAAGAGGAAGATGGGAGTAGCTTTTGTAGTGGAGTTACAGATTCTAGCACACAGAGTTTAGCCCCTAGTGAATCAGATGATGATGAAGAGGAAGAGGAAGATGAGGAGGAAGATGAGGAGGAAGAAAAAGCAGATGATTTTGTAGAAAGCATGGGCTCCCATGCTGATATGGTGCCTCTTCCTTCTGTCCTTTGCTACTCTGATGGAACTGCTGTGCATGAAAACCACTCTAAAAATGCCTCATACTATACTAACTCTTCAACTCTGTATTACCAAATAGAGAACCACGTTGCTGGCACTGCTAACCAGATCGGTGAGACTTACTCAGAAAGGGATGCTGTCAAGAACGGTAGTCTTTCTCTGGTGCCTTACAACATGACTTCTGAACAGTTTGTTGACTACACACGGCAATCAGAGGAAACTTTTAGCAGCCCTCATTACCCTTCTGCAAACCCCTCAGTGATTGTTTGCTGCTCCTCTTCTGAAGGGGATGGCAGTGCTCCATGTAACAGTTTATACACTGAGCATAGGCCAAGTCACCCGCAAGTGGAATTTCACTCCTACTTGAAAGGTCCTTCTCCAGATGGCTTTGTGTCAGCTTTGAACAGCGACAGCCACGTGCAAGAGCACCCTGCTGAGAATTCACTAAACCTCCCAGAAAAGAGCAGACTGCACGAGGAGTGCATCAAATCTCCAGTGGTAGAAACGGTACCTGTTTAATATTAAAATTATTCTAGGACTGACTTCCTGTATTAAAATTTACTCCCATCGGATTTTCCTAGAATCTTACTTTTTTAAGAGGTAGACAACACTTGGACTGTAATCAATGTTCCAGACACATTGTGTTTTCTCAAGCTACACTGGCAGTGGTATTGCACAAAAACAGTTCACATAAAGATTTAAATAAAAATAATCAAACCTTTTTTTGATAAAAATAAAACAAGTAAGTAAAAAAACACAGCCAACCTATTTCAAAGTAGCCTACCTATGGACATGTGTGAAACCTGCCAAGCTTTCTGAATCAAAGCTTTGTGTTTTTGACTGTCGGGCCTGTGCAAAAATGTTAAAAATGATACTTTGAAATAATCATGTTTAGAGTCCTAATTTTCAACGTATCTGAAAAGATGGTAAGTTTAACGTAAAAGTAACTACTGTACAAAAAAAGTTTTAATTGTTCTGTACTGTATGTATTTTATTTATGGTAGTTTACAATTCATGTTTTGAAAAAAATGAACAGCATGTTCATTTGAGCAGAAGATCCATAGCTAGTTACAAAGAGCATATCCACTTTTCATCTGGAGTACCTTGTATTCTTCTTTTTTTTTTTAATACCATTTTTGGTAAATTGTCTTGAAACACATTTTTAGAGTGTGCTGTTTTTTCTCTTTTACTGTTCTTGACAAACAGAATAGTCAGAAAGGGGGCATTTACATCTTCTAGAAAGGTAGACAATCCTCCATTAAAACTAAAATCAGTGGCATTCCAGAACTAGTACCCTCACCCCAAAGAAAAAGGATCTTGTATATAATGGCAAAGCAGTAGCTTAAGCTTGCACAGCACCTTTTAGCCCAACAACCATTCAGATACTTTGCACTTTAGTGCTGTTTTGCAGGACTATATTAACTGTGGGAACTGTGAACCACTCTGGAGAAATGCCATAGCCCCACTCTCTGAGGCGTTTCTAAGATCTTAAAATTCATTGTAACAAAACCTGGATGTTTTTCCCAAGCCAGTTTATGAATATGTCAGTATGCAATTTATAAAAGCAGAGCCTTATTGATCAAAGCTTAAATAAAGCATGGGAAAAAATGCAGAACTGTCTAGATTGCCTAAACATTTAACAGTTTTTATGAAATATGAGACTGGCTTTTGTGGACTTCTGATTGTACCTCAAATGTAGCATCATTTGGTCTAAATAGGAAACAGCAGATTCGGTGAGGAAAAAAGCTTCAGAAATTTTGTAGCTGCAGAAGTCTGCAAGGAAAATAGCATGTGCATCATATGGATATCCATTACCTTGTGATCCGTTTGTTTTTAAATGAAGTGGGAATTAAAAGTACCTGCTGTATATCAACTTTTAATTTATTAACCAATCTTGCTCTTGTCTAGAAAAGGAGGCATAGGAACCAGGTTTTCGCTGCACTGGAAATTCTGCACTGCCTTATTTTGATTTCAAAATCTATTTTAGCATTTTTATTCTTCTAATACTGAAATTTTATTTATTCTACATCAAGTAAGTTGAAATGTAGACCTGTCTTGTTTGTCAAAATAAGAATCAGCATCTTAGTTTTATCTGTGTCAAATCTAGATGGTTAACAGTGTGCATGTAAACACAGTGTAAATTTTAGCTCTGTAATAATGACTCTTCTGGTTAGAAGCTCTTTAAAACAACACGTACAGTACTCCAGTAGAAAAACTGCCAGGTGTAAAATGGGCTTTTCATTGAAAAAAAAAAGATAACTTAATTGTTTTTATATGAAATCTGGGTAAAATGACTTCTCATATTTATGCTAAATTAGCAAAATATTTTTACTCCATGTAGTAGCTGGAAAGGTTTTTTATTTACTTGTTTCCACAAGAAGTCCTACACAGTTTATATGAACTGCATTGAAAAGACTAGTTCTCTAGGGACTGGATTCCAAACTTGCAGCGTATTCCACCTCCTGAGAAAGCACATTCATGTTTGTTATCTGGCTCAGCAATTCCATAGCTGCTGTTCCTCCTGTAGTCACAGAACACTGTAGTCTCTTTCTCTAAGGTTGAGTAGCCAGGTAAACACCCGTATTCTGCAACACAAATATCCTTGAGTTTTAAAGAGAAACGTGCTGGTTCTTCAAGTTCTGCATCTGAGAATAATATTATTCTGTTCAGGATCTTCTAAGGGCAAATGTAATAAGTCTCTGTGTATACAGGCATCTTGCATCAACAGTGAGTTAAATTTGGCACTCTCACTTAACACCAGCACCAAAAGCACAAATCTCTTCTGCTTGAGCTGGGACAGTAGATGAGGATCAGGAGCAGCTCTTTACCCTCAGAGTGTGTTGGAGAACCACACACACTTTACTGGGGTATTTATCTCAGGGGAAAGTTAAATGAAATCTTTTGTTTTATTATTCACCCCCTTACTGAGCAATAAGAAATTATTTTCCTGGCCCCTGTGCTTTCACCTGAAAAATATCTTTAATTTTATCAGCAAGCACAGTAAGTGATTAACTTCATAAAATATATGTCATCCAGTTTTTAAATACTGAGGTGGTGGTTATTTACTATTTCCATTCTCACAGGCTTCAGATCCCAGTCCTGGTTAATATCAGCACCTGTATAAACTTTGGAGTACTGAGATGTGTGTGTTCCATGCCATTGGGGCATCAGGGGTGAATGCAGCCAAATTCTCTCAAGCCTGCAGCACAGGATAACAAGCAGTTACATCTTGGAAGAGATGTATTTTTTAAAAATAGGCCAAACCTTTTGCCCAGCCAATTCCATGCCAGCAAATAACAAAGCTAAGGCCTTTTCTAGCATGTGTAAGTTAACTAGAGTGACAAAAAAAATAGTTGCAGCCCTGACCAAACAGGAAGGCTAATTTAACTGACAGGTGGGCTAATTTACCTGAAATCTAGAGTAGGATGTAGAAATCAGGTGAGTCAGGTTTCCCACCACTTGATTAGACTTCGATGTTTTGTTTAGAACAAAAAATATACTCTTCATTTAGGGAAAACAAGCTTAAATAAATCATAGTATGGAAAATATTTTAATGTTATTTTCTGGGCTAGTATATAATAATGCATGCTGTGTCCCATTTCTCAACTGGCTAACAGTCATTTTGATAACCAGTCCTTTCATTTTGGGTAGGCTGTTTCTGTGTGATAAAAGTATTATATTACTAAATGATAACCAGCAGTATTTGCTTCTGTCAACACAGTGTATCATTTGAGGAAATGTTTACTTTACTGATAGTTGTATCAGCTTTATTTTGCAAGATATCTGGCTAGTGATAAACACTCCTAAGGAACCAGGTAATCATTTTTGATCATATTGCATAGTTCAGGAAAATGGATCATAACATAAGCATTTCCCTCTATTAAAATAAACCAGAATTTTCATACAGAAGATCACTGAAACAGCCCCTAAAACCAGATGCCTTTTTGCCTATAAGGTGAACTTCGCCTTTCTTGGAAAAAAGTGCATTGTTAAATATATGCAAAGCTTTAACCGATGTTAGACATGAAATTAGAACTTTTCTGCACAGTTAATTACAGCAATTGCTTTCTAAGAGCTATAACTCATGCCCACTGAACATCCTTAAAAAGTTACAAGCTGGTCAGTAAAACTTTCTACTATTCTTTATTGAGTTGTCTGCCATTTAGATCAGAAAGTTCTAGATTTGTAAAGTTTTACTATTTTTCGTTTACACAAGCTCCTGCTAATGAATCATAGTTGGAGTTGACATTAATTTATTTTAAGTCCATCGTACACGGCCATAGATCCAGTTCAGCCTGATCAGTGCTCTGGTAACAGAGCGATCCTGTCTTTTGTGGAAGTGCTGCAGAAATCCCATGTAGTGTTGGTGGTGCTGTTACTGACTGCTGACTGATCCAGAGCCACTTTCAAACCGTACCTGCGTGTTTTATGTCAGTAAATGTGATAACATGTCGCTTTCCCTGCCTCACAGGGAGTATCTTCACAAACACAGCTAGTTTTTTAAAGATTGTATACATATATTTGTATGCAAAACAGAACATATGTTTTTTAATATTTCAGGTGTTCCTGACTCTCTGATAGAAATGTGATATACTAGATAGAGAGTATTGGGCTCAGAGAGAGGAGACCTGGGTTCTGTTGCCTTTGCCTTTATCTTATTGTGTCACTTGCATTCTCTGTGCTCTGGTTTGTAATGTACTTGGAGATATTGTGATAAAACATAATTCTTTAAAACAGGCAAAATACCATTTTATTCTTCTTTTTTTTGGTATCATAACTAAATTTTTGTACTGCAGACTACACCACTTTCCAAATAAAGCCCAGTCCAGAATTGAACAGAAATTTTTCACTAATGTGAAGCACAGCTAAAGCAAACTCTCCTTTCCTTAGATGGGATTAATGAGCAGAAGTTTAACAGTAAATTGCACAGTGAAAAATTAGAATAAAAGCTGTGTTGCATATACAACATTTACCTGTCAAGTGCTTAACATTTGAGCAGCAAGATTGTAGTTTGCCTGCAACACCACACTTGGAAGCAGCAGGCAGTCTTACTCCCCTGTACAGTGTCTTCTTTTGCTGGCTGAATTCTGTCCGTTGGAACTCCTTGCCTGGACTGCTCCTGGAGCAAAGCAGCTGCCTTTACTCAAACGTAAAGCAAGAGAGACCCATTATATCCTTTTAAAAGGCATTTGCTAAATAAGGATCTCCATTGTTACAGCTCATGAGTTGTATAAACTCATGTTCATTGTGCCAGTTGTTTTATTTCCTGAAACAGTCAGGAACAGGGACAGAAGAGGATGATATGGAAAATCCTCAAGCATTCCTGCTGAGACTGAAGAGTAATTCTATCATCTACTTTATTATGGTTGCAGAACATTTGATGTAAAATACTTTGAAAAACTAGAAGTAACTCAGAGAATATATTCTATAGAATTTATTTCTAAAATATTAAATCTGATTACTATTTTTTTAAAATGGTAGAAAACTGTTATTTTCAAAACAGACTTACATGTTCTGTGGTATGAGAAATCTCAGCATTTGCCTTTTCAGTGTTTCCAGGTTTTTCTAATATTCTTAATTTTGCTATTCTCTGTAATCATTGTCTATGTGCAAATTATTAATTGTCCATTTTCTCCAAGAAATGTCAAATCCAAAGCGCAAACATTGTGAAGTGATGAACAAGTGCAATTTAGTTTTAAAGATGTCCGAGTGAACACACACTTGGGTTCTACACAAGTTTTTCCTTTTCACTGTCTCTTCCTACTCCTAAATCCAAGGCAGCTTCTAATGTTGTTGCTAATAAATGTGCCAGAGTATTGTTTCCACTTAAGGAGGAAAGTTATAACAACCTTGAGGATTTTTCTGTTACTCTAATGGCTGATACCAAGAATTTTACTTTTTATATGGAACATCCAATTCATGAAACGTGTTGTGCAGCATAAGTGTTCTTTTTTAATGCCTTCCTTCCTGTCAGTGTTTGGGAGGTCTGTTGTACAGTAAGACTTTTCATTACAGCTGAGCAAAAGGGCAACTCCCGTGTCCTCTGTGCTGTGAATTAGATCTTGAAAAGCCAGGTTGGATGGGGCTTTCAACAACTGGATCTAGACATCTCTGCCCATGGCAGGGGGGTTGGCATTAGAAGATCTTTAAGGTCCATTCCAGAGGAGGCCATTCTGTGATTCTGTGAGTTAAAATGTGTGTTGCTCTGGTGCTATGCAGTCTTTGTGGTTGGAGGACACTCAGAACTCAGGAGGTCCCACTGCCTGGAGAACCACATTCCTGATGCTCTGTACTGCAGCTTCTCAACTGAGACGGTGATAGTCTTCATCCAAGGCTGGGGGTGGGACAAAAAAGTTAAAGGGCAAACTTTGTCCTTTATTTACTCAGTTATCTTAATTTCGATCTTAGCAATGACACTTCTGTTTCGTGAATGAATGTCCAGTAGAACCAAGTTGAAGTTTGCCTCTCATGTGCATTCTTCTCTAACTGATCACTTTTCCAATAAACCATGAAGATGGGATTGGCTTTTCATGATAGACAGGAAAATGGACATCATTGTTCTAACACAAGAATCAAGGTACTCCTTGGTCTTGAAGCACTAGAGTGAGGGGAGGATAGAAAGAACAGTTTAGAGGAAAAGAAGATGAAGGCAAGAGGCAGATTGATGAAGATTATCTTTCTTCTAAAGGGCAAACCAAAACATTACATATTAAAAAAAAAAGGAAGGAAAATGGGAAATTAAGATCTGTCCAGAACAAGGATGGAAAAGTATATGGATGTTCAACTACAAGCTTGCCCATGTTAGATGATAATATTGATTCTGTTACTTAATATACTTTAAACCAAACGAACTCAGTGCAAACAGGAAATGCCATTTTTCCAGACCAGTTGCATACAGGTGGCCATTAAATAAAAGACTTATCCAAATGCATGGGGTAAAAACTAAAAAGCAAAGCCACACCTAGAAGCACTGCTACCATGTCCTTTCTTTGCCTATGGCAATTACAAAGTCATTTTCTGTATCATTTCTGTTAACTCTGCTCCCAAGCACATATTCTCATATAACCAGTTTCTCAGATAACAAGAGACGTTAAAAGCAAAGACAAAATAGGTGTTCTTTTTATTAGCATTTTAGTTTGGGATTTTCAAGAGACTTAGTACACATTATAGCACATTATAGCATTTTAGGTTTCTCCATCTGGAACTTTTAAAGTATGTTCTTGAAGTTTTGGGTTTTGCTG